TTAAGTAAAGCTTTTTTAGTGCTCAAGTTCATCCATTCAAGTGTGAATTTTTCAAAATTCAATTATGGATTTTTCAAATCCAAGTGTGGATTGCTTCTTAAGCCTATCTCAAGCTGACACTTAGGATCAATCACGTGTGGGAAAAATAACAGCCAAGCTTAAATCAGATTACAGAAGTTTAACCAAGATATTTCTTCACACTTTCTTGCTGATCAAGCATGGACATAGAAATGTCCAAGCATGAATTAGTATACAGTGCTATATCTTCACTTTAGACTCTCTAATTCAAGTAAGTCCATTTATGGTTTAAGCTTGAATGAAATTCTTTGTCTTATATGCACAAAAATATAATCAATCATGCATGGGACACTCACAATCCAAGCATGAATGATGCATTGTGAAGCATAGGTGCAATATATGTATGTCAATTAAGTATGGCCATTTATTGTCCAACCATGAATGAAGCAATGTGAAGCACAAATGCTTGCATATGTGTGTCAATCAAGCATGGACAGTTATTGTCCAAACATTTTGTTGTTTTGTTGCATGGTTCTTGATATTCAATATGCACAAGTAACATACACCTTTTTCTTAGTTTTATTATCATCAAAACACTTGGTTCAATAGAATTTGAGGAAAACTACACATTATGCCCCCTTTTTAAAAAAGTAATGGAAGTTTAGTTTAATTTAATAGTAGGATGAAATTGTCCTAAATTTAATTGTTCAGGGTTTATAATGTATCAAATATGAGTTTATGGATCAAATCACTTCTGTACCTATAGTTTAGGGTACGAATTGTATGTTAACACTTTAAAAAAGCAAGAATTTCTTATAGAATAAATAATATATTAAAAAATTCACATGTTTTGATTTAATTAGAAACAAGCACCTTAGATATATAAGACTATGTATATAAGTTTTTTTCCCTAAAATTCAACTTAGTACTTTTTCATAACATTTAAATTAAAGATATGTCCCATGTAAAGAAATTATTTACAAATAAATTTAAAAAAATTGCTTAAATACAAACCACATTGCCTATTTATGATAAAATAAAGTCTTTTTGCTATGTGGAATTGTATTCAAACCAAATTTATTAGCATAGAATGAACTAGAATTTACCAAAGAACTTGTCCTTTTAGCTGTAACTCCCTAGACTGCTCTATCCATATCTTTCATTCTTATAGAAAAGCATAGGAAATCTAGATAAAATTGGTTGAGCTTTTAAAGCTATTTTTTCTTTCCTTGCACATTTGGATAACATGGAATGCAAAGAAAGATGTATGGAATTCAATTACATGAGAAATTCTTTGGTAGAAAATTTTGCTCATGTCTGTTGAAACATTTAAAAAGTGGGATGCAAAAGCCTCTGCTTTGAAGATGACACCCTCAATGGAAACATTGCTTTCATTAGCACCCCAACACATAATCAACAACCTTAAGCTTGAATCAAGGATGAATTCTTTAATTTTGGGATGAGAAGAATTACAAACTAAATGGTGCCCTTCTAAAGTAGGTTGAGTTAAATTACATATTAATGATTTGATGAACATTAATGGCATGCTGATTGTAAAGATCTTATTAAAGATGAATAAAGTTGTCACACCCCGAAAATAGAAAGTGACCGGCACGGGATGTGGACCATATCACACATCCCTTAAGCCCTAAATTGAGATTTTTTTTTTCATTTTAAAACATAGTTGAATCTGTACTAAAAATTATAACATGTTTAATAAAATTATTGTATTGAAAATTTCAATATTTTTTATAGAAATTTAAGTGGAATCTTCCTAGTAAATAAGATCTTCCAAAATTTTTTATCTATCAATATTTTACACAAAAAGTAATATCAACCAGGAGCTTAACTCCTTCCAACCAGCAAACAACATATATCACAATAGAAACCTAGCTATAGGCTATGTGGAGCTAACTAACCTTACTTTCAAAATAAAATACAACAATCAAATGTTTATGTCAAAAGGAGATAATGCTAAGTGAAATACCACCACCCAAAACAATTTTTCGCCCTTTAAATGTCAGCAGTAGGATCAATGCCAGTTAATGAATCTGAAACTAAATAAGTTTCTAGTGAATAGTATCCCAACAATAAATAACTAAATATGTATAAAAAGAAGTTTAACATAATTATGTGTGCTAGAAATAAAATTTTTTGCAAACAAATATATAATAAACTTCGTCAAAAAGGACTTGATGTAACTCTAAATAAATCCCTAATTTATTAAAATATCATATCAAACATCATTATCATATACTTTTAATAAAGCAAATAATTGCATAAAATAATTATAAATATGTCATTAATCAAAATCAATGAAAAATAGGTCTATCAAATAATTAAAAACTCATAATTATAGGGACTTATCAGAACAAATAATAAATATAGATACATAGTCCACGAGGGTAGATAACCAAATGTGGCTTATGCCACGAAGACAACATGGACACACAGTCCATGAAGGTAAGTAACTAAATGCAGCCGAAGCTATGAAATAAACGTAAACACACAGTCCACGAGGGTAATGCTAACCAAATGTGGCTTGAAGCCATAAAACAAATATGAGTATGATGCTCACGAATAACCATCCCTCTATTCCACGTGCGTTGGCCATCGCACGGGGCTAGCACCTCCTATAAACACCCTGCTAGCTAGTTGTACCATGGCGTGCCAAGGGCTAATGGAATTGTCGTTAGCAACCAGTGTTCCATATAAAGTCCATTTTTTTAGAAAAACCATTTTCAAACATGTGAGAAAATCATCACTTTCAAGATACAGTTCTCATTCTCAAAATCAAACTCGCATGAATACTTTTAAGCATTAAAACTTGCCAAAATAAAATTTCATATCCAATGCTTATGCTTGCATTTATTGAATAATCAAAAAAAATTTCAAAGTCAAATTCGCATGAATCATTCTCTGTATCAATCTAATATTTGATAAAATAAAAATCTCATAATCAAAGTCCAAACTTGATTTAATTGATCAAATAACATTTCAAATTTGGTAAAGCTAATTTCTCAAAATAAAGTAAAGTTAATCAACAAATATCCAATAGTCGCATTAATGCTATTAAAATAATTTCCAGAAAAACGTAATATTTTAGTAAAGAAAATTTTGATTGAAAAAAAATTAGTTGGGACGCTATCCACTTACCTAAAACGCTCACAAGATGAAAATTTGCTCCTTTTGAACATCTCTCAGTTGCCTTTTTGCTACTCTAATTACCGAAACCACTTGCAATGATGAACGAACCAGTTAGACGACTAGCTAAGTTGAGCGATCTATGATGCAAAATAGGGGAGATGATAGTGGTGACATGAAGCATGGAAGGAAGATTTTGATGCCCCCACAACCACACCCATACCCACGAATGTAGCAGCAACTTGAAGCAAGAAGAAGGGAAGCCGTCGCATAAATAAAGAAGAGCAGGGAAGAAAAAGAACAGTTGGCGATGCGGATGAAGAACGGGCGAACGAGTTAGGCAAAGATTACCAATAGTGAACGCTGTGAAACAAGATGGAGAAGACAACATATGGACCCTTAGCATCAGTTGATCATGGTGATTGCATACCCAAGCCGATGAACGTGCTGGAACAAAGAAAGATAGAGATGAAAGTTTCTAGAATTCTCTCCCTCTCTCTCGTTGGTTCTCTCGTTAAAAATAACAAAGAAAGAAGAAAAATCTGACTTAAAAAGGGAGGATTGAGAAAATTACAAGGATGGACCCAAAGTTTTTATATATTATAATATAAGAGACAAGGCATTTTCTCTCTCCTTTTTTTTTAAAATTTTCTCATAACCATGATAAAATAAAATTAGTCTATTACTTAAGAGAATTTGAACTTTGAATCTTCCAGTAAGTTGCTAACTTAAGTTTCAATAAGTAACCACCATCTACTTGTTAAATTGGAATAATTAAATAAAATATCAATTAGAAAAGAAATTTATTTAATTCAAAATTTATAGTCATTACAAAAGTAATTGGATAAAGGGTTTTACTTGAATATTATTTTAGTTACCACCCTAGCACATCTAAAAAATTCTCGGACATTCTCCGTGGCCTCACCTCTTGTTTGAATGGCAAGTTTACTAATGGTATGTTTGAATTGATGATAATTTGGGTTTGAATTTGGATTTAGATCAAATCCCTTATTTGGATAAATAAAATTTTATGGATTTGGATTTCCAAATCAATCTCTTATTACATTTCCTTTCTAATTTTAAATTTCTCCTATGCTCTAATAATTTGAAATTTCAATTACATCAAATATCACATTCTCTTCGTGTTTTTACTGGATGCCTTTATGACTTTCGTACCTTTCGTTATTTTTTTATTAATTAAAAAATATTGGTAAATTCATCACTTTCAATTTTTCATTTTCGTTTTGTAACTCTACTCATCTTTATTCTTCATTGGAAAATTTGTAAACTACTTAAATAAAAAATTTAAATATATGAATTTTAAATATAAGATTTGAAATGTAAGATTTTATATCTAAAATTCAAATCCACATATACCAATCCAAACATTATCTAAGATAATTGACTACCCTAACTCTCTCAAGATTCTCATGCGCATTCACAATCAAGTTTTCCATTAACTATTATGTTTCCAATACTAACAAGTTAGGCAATCATTGATTGTTGGAATATTTGTTTATAGATTTACATTAATTAATAAATTCAAACAGATTGATTTTTATAATTATATGTAAAATGTGATAAGTAGACCACACAAAAACAACCTCATCAAAGGATGCAAATCGGTGAATCACATTTGGCGTGGAGGATCCTCCTTCGGCTTGTGGGCTTTAAGGTAAGTTTGTTTGATCTCAAGTTTGGTTGTAATGCACTGTCGACATGTATCATGGGCCTCAACTCTCATCCAACGGGTTTAGTGGCCCATTGTCTGTTTTCTTTTGTATTAAATCTCTAATCCTCCTCGTTGTGCTCGACTTCATCATGTGATGGCATTTATTCTTCTCACATTTTCGTAGCCTTAAGAATTAGATTAATCGAGTTCAAGTGATGGAGTCTGAGTTTCGCTTTTTGTGTTTGGTTCTGATTTTCTGTTTGATGTTTGATTTCGATTTCGTCTTTATTCCTCCTTCTTCGTTCCATTCCAGAGAAGAGAGAAAAGGACCATTTAGTGAATCGTCCGAGTCGTCAAGGAGTTGGTGAAGTTTGATCATATTTTCCCGTCTTCTTCCTCGTTCCAATCCTCCTTCAATTCTGGTTTGCTCGTTCCAATCCTCCTTTGAGCTTCGTTATTTCTGGTATTGTTATGTTATTTGATATATTACTGTTGCTAGGTTGGTTATAATTATTATAATTATACTTATATTTAAAGCCTGTTTTGTTTTTAGAAGGGATATGAATGGAATAAAGTGAGGTGCTTGAGCTTACTAGAATGACTATGGATAGATTTTTGTAAGAAAAAGGTAGTGAACTAGTAGAAAGGTGGGCATGAGAATTAGCTTGTATCAAGTATTCCCAATTTTTAAGGGGTGATGATTATCATGGGAGAGATTATTCCCATATGGTTATGGTCAATCAAGTATGATTGTATTGGAAGAAATCATAAAAAATATACTTACATTGGAACATACGATTACTTGGGGAAAGACTATTCTTTGGGATGCTAAGGAATTGAAGCAAACAAGACATTTGGTTTAAGCAATTTTCTTCTGAAATCTTTTTTTTCTTCTTTACATGTGGTAGTCTGGCAGCATTTTTATGTTAAGGAACTTTCAGTGTATCAACATCTGGAAACTAGCCCCCCCCCTCATAATCTTTTGCTTGAAATCTTTTCTGCCATGCATTTACTTCCTAGAGAAATGGCTCCACCACTAGACAACTGAAAATTTGTGCTTTTAACTCTGTCAGGAAATTGTATCCATAAAGAAAGGTGCATGCTTACAGAGGTATGGACATAGAGAATAGTTAAAATTAGATATATGCAGCGATATTTCTTTCTTTCCTTTTTTTTTTTTTAATTCATTTCTGTTTAACATAATATTTTTCATTCAGAACTCATCTGAGTTTTCCTTTTGCTTTTACTCCTTTTTACAAGTAAGGATCACTGAATTGGTCGACATGAATGCTTTCTTTTTTAGTCCTGGATCTAGTGCTTTCCTACAAATGAATTTTGTTAGCTGTGCCTTTTTGCCATTGTGAAGGCAGCAGTCAAACTCTTTGGAGTTATGCGCTTCTGGAGCAGGACATGTACAGCTAAATTTTCTAGTTATATTATATGCTTGTGTTGGGATGCAGTGATTGACTAGATTATGATTTATGATGTATGGAATTTGACTAAGGGAAATTTGGACTCAGTTGAAATACTTTCAAACCATTGCTCTAAGGCCACAAACTGATAATAGATAGATGTAGAATAATGTTGTACCTGTGTACTTTGATTTCAATTGTGCTTCTCTTCCTATCTCTATAAGTTCAAGTGGCTAAAATTTGTTTATGAACTTCTATTGAAATTTACACGATGATGATTGATCTCAGTGATAAACTGTCCAAATTAAGGTATTGGGATAGCTCTGCTGAGATTTTGTTTCTTTTGAAAAAAGAATTAGAATTACTTCTAGATTTGGGAATTCGGCTTTTATCTGTGGAAACCTTCCATCATGAAAATTAGTTATGTAATCAACCACGGTTAAGGGGTCTTTCTCTTCTTCGAATTTGGTAACTTGATAGTTTTGGGTGCCAACTCTGCCCCCCAATCCCAAAAAATAAAAAAATTAAAACCTTGGTGTAGTAACAACAAGTAGAGGGAGAAAACTAAGTGCTGAGCTGTCACGAACATCAGTTCAAGAGCAGGGAAATGCATGTAACAAACATCCATGACTTCTCACATTGTTGCACTGCTGATATAAGAGACTGAAGATTAGAAGAGAAACGAAAAGAAAAATTTCAGCTAATAAACGCATTAACAAACCTGGGCCAATGTTGTTTTGTATGTTCTATGCATATGCAAATTTGGCTAGTGGGATTGAGAGCCATGTTAGATAGGTCCCAGCATCGAAAATTGTGAAGTTGTTTAAGGACTTGCAAAGGAGTGCGGAGTTTTGTAAACAATCCACCTTGGATCCTTTGAAGAAAGAAAAATCTTGGTCTTCTTGAGGACGACATTACTGAATTTACTCAGGATTCATGTATCTCTTGCTTTCTCTTTGTTTTCTAATTCTTAAGTTCTTATTTCCTTTCCGCGTTTTCTTTTTGAAAGATTTTTTTTTTCCCAAATAATGATGTTTCCATTATATTAAGAGTAATATCATTAAGGGTTAATGAGCATTCTAGATCTTGAAGTATTGCGCGTAAAGTGCTTTGGACTCCAAACTCTTAAAATATGTAAAACGGATTCTAAATTTTTAAATTTATAACAAATTAAATCTCACCAATAAATCATTGTTAATGCCATTCCTTTTCATCAAGTGGGGCCTAGTTAAAATGTTGATGTGGCGGTTTTTTATTAATGTGTCATTTTTAATGAGCGCTATATATTCTAAACTATTGTGTGAGTAATATATTAGACTTTGAACTTTAAAATTTAGAACAAACTATCCACACCATTTATATATGGAATGCTAACTATTATATAGTTTAAATTAGACTTAGCATTATTCGCCACAACAAATGCATCATTGGCTACAACAAATAATCTATAATTTTGTGAAGTAACATTTTTTGTTCTTTTTTGTAATGTTTTCTAAATGATTGGTATCTTATGCTTCTATATAATCTATAACTTTAATTTAATTTTATTTTAAATAATGTTTATTTATTTAATGGTAAAAACTTGGGACTCTATTTGAAAAGAAGTTTAAGATTTTAATTAACTGGTTAATTTGGGTTTGAAATCCGTTGATGACATTGTTAGCTTTCGCATTTATCATCTGTAAAATTCTCTGATATTTAAACTTTTTTTAAATAGGATCTTAAGTTTTTACCATTAAATAAATAAACATTATTCAAAATAAGTATAAATCAGAGATATAAAGTATATGAAAGTATGATATATCAATTGTTTGGGAAAAAAAAAAAAGGGCAACCAAGTTATTTTATAAAATTATGAGTTGTTCACCGCAACCAACAATGCATTCACCATGGCGAACCACGTTTAGGCTAATTTGGTGTATATAATTGTTAGCAATTAACACATAAACGGTAGGAATAATTTGTTTTGAATTTAATTTTGTAATGATTCAGGAAAATAATGTAAATAAAAAAATCTAAAATTAGATAAGTTAAGGTATTTGTATTAGTTTTGGTATAAATTTGTCAAAATACTCTAATAGTTCAGTAATAACTACTATTTATGTTTAGTTTTAGGTTCTATGTTCAAACCCTTATGGTGAATAAAGGGAGTCTTCATTTTTTTTCTCTTATTTTTGTTTATTTTATCTGATTTACATGATATTACCATTATGCCTCTCAAAAAAAAATGAAATAGAAACAGAAACAGAAACAGAGTCGGATATAAATCACACGCATGCCGAACTTTTTTTTTTTTTTTTTCATTTTTTCCATTCTCGAATCTTCAAGAATCCAGTGAGAGGGAACTTTCTGATCAAACCTCCACCGCATTCTCGCCTCCTCCGTTTCAATTGATCATCGGCATGGGTGTCGAGTTCACCATGAGTTCGCCGCTGTAAAGATTTCGCTCAAGATCTACCTACTCCATCTCTGTTCAAGCTTCACTGTTGATTCCTTGTTTTTCTCTTTCTCGTTGGCGTCGTCTGGATGCTGTGAGTAGAGTTCGTTCCTCTCCCTCTTCCTTCGTGCAATAGCATCTTCTCCTTCCTCGACCGCTGCGTTATCACTGACGACTGTGCTTCCCTTCCTCCTCTGTTTGTATGCGTTGTGGCAGTGCTCATGGGTAGCCATGGAAGCTTGATTCTGTCCTCTCTCTAGTTTGATTCTGTGCACACGTATGTATTGGTGAGTGAGGTACAAACTCTCCATTTCTTCCGTTCGAGGAAGCAGGAGCTGTTCATTTCCCTCTGTTCTTTGTTCATCCTCCCCTGTTTCTCGTTGCAAACATCTTCGCTCCTCTCTCGTTCATGCTGTTGCAGATTCTTTTTCCTTCCTCCTCCGTGTTTGTTCGCCTAGGATCATCTCCTTCTTTGCTCGGTCATGCTGGTTCCAGGTGAGGAGCATTGAGTTTTCTTTTTTGCTGGCTGTGTGCATGTGTGTCTATTTAGTGGAGATAATATTATTTGGTGTGTGAGGTTACTGCTGTGCGTGATTATAGAAAGGTAGTAGGTTTTTGAACCAAGCAAAAATCTTTGTCTGAAGATGTTATTTGTGCTTGGAGTATAACTAAATTTATATTGATTTTGTTGAAGAAATAAACTTGAGATGGCAGATTAAATTTTATATTGATGCTGTAGAATTGTTGAATAAATTATGGGATGGTATTTGAAGGAAGAAATTACTATTAAAATTTAAAAATTGGTGCTTATAAGATGTTTAACAAAATGCTGGAAAGGATGAATATTGGTGGATGATGGGAAATAGATGTGTTGATTGTATTATTGATAATTAAATTGTTATGAAAGAGAATTATTCTCTATACAAAAAGTTGAAATTAGAAATAAGAGTAGTTTGAAAATAATATTATGAATTAGTAATTCAAAAGCCAATTTGTTATTAAAATATTAGTCATTAGAATGTCTATGAAATGTTTAAAAAATGTTGAAAGTTAAGAGTTGTCTGTGTTACTTTCCGAATTATTTTAGACTGATGATGATGATGATGATGATGATGATGATGATGATGATGATGATGATGATGATGATGATGATGATGATGATGATGATGATGAGATCTACAAAAGAAAATAACAATGGTATTTCTTGGACACTAGGACTTAAAGAGCAAGCATTACTAGAAGAGGACCAGTTAGAAGTAAGTTACTTATTTGAAAAATTTTCAGGTAAGCGGACAGCGTCCCAACTTATATTTCATTAAAATCTCCTTTATTTAAATATTACATTCATATACTAACAACAACATCATACTAGATAATAATGATACATCACATTATTATGAGAAGAAGTTAAGAATTTGTTTCTGAAGGCTTGCATATTGGGTAGGAAAGTCTTTTAAAATTACAAACTCTATTTTTCTTTTTTCTTTTTTTTGAGAATGACAATTAGGTCTCAAAATATTGAATTAATACCAGTTAAGTTTCTGACAAATTCTTTTGAAAAATAAATTGAAAATATTGATCCAAATTATTGCAAATTCATGAGTTTCAATTACAAGTAAGTATTTAAATGTCAAATATAATTATTAGATTGCAACAGAAATTTTTATTTATAATTATTTAAATTGGTATTTATAATTCATTTTGTAAAAAAATTTATTGATGGCCTAACTGTAATTAATTCATTCTTTTAGGACTTAATTGTTGTTCACCATTTTTTTTTAATGCAAAAGACCAAAAGCTTCTCAATATAAGACTCATTAACAATGTCCTCGTTCAAAAGTTGACCTTTATGATAGCTCTATTTTATAACACTTTTCTCAGTTTAAACTTTTTGTAGATAGTCCTTTTCATGATGTTAGCCTCTCAATAAAAATACCAATTTTACAAGCAAGAGGTTAAATGGAGAGCTTATTTTAAAAAATTCATACTGATGGACCTCGTGGCACAAGTGACATGGCGTTAATGACAACAAATCTTGAGGAAGGTAATCATGAGTATGGTGGCATGAAAGGAGCCTAAGGCAAGGAGCAACGAGCCTAACACCTCCAATCCAATGTGCTTAAAGATCCTTTACAATATATTGGAGGTCCAATGACAAAAGCCTGAACCAAAGCCATGAAGTAAGCCTTGTTTAGTCTTGTATAAAATGTCCAAGAGCTTGAAGAGCATTGAGGCACTCCTCTTATGCCTAAAGGAGAGCCTCTAAGTGTGCATAATGTACTTAAGATTCAAATCCACAAAGAGTCAAGCCCAAGAAATGCAAACCTTAGCCTAATGTAAGAAAGACTATAAGTTGAGCCTCTTGCAAGTAAGGAGGTATGAAACCCTAGTGAAGAAGTCAAGGGTGGCGTGATTTTAAATCCTTTATGATCCTTTGATTGTCTCCTATTTTAATAGTCATTTGACTTGACTCTCTTTCTTAAGAAGCAAGACTAGTCATAGTTTCCTATTTTGAGTCTAGTCAAAAATTAGAATTAATTATATTATTTTAATTTTTAAGTTTTGTAATCCCATAATTTTAAGATCATATCTCCTAAATTATGTGGCTTAATATGTATTTTATATTATTTTCTTTCTTCTTTTACTATTAGAAAATTAGGATTTTAATTTTAGGAAATAGTCTTCTCTATGAACCTATATATATTAGGCATGTTCCTTCTTGTAAATGGAAGAGCAGTTGAATGAAATTATTTATTTTAGAGTTTATAAATCTTGTGAGCCTTAATGCTTGTGTTGGCATCCCATGTGAGAAACAAACGTGATCAAAAGCGTAATTAATTCTTGTGGTATCTTTGAAGGTTGAGGTTCCTAGAAGCAGGTGTTCTAGAAGATCTTATTCTTGATAATTATCCCATTGTTTATTTCATTTATTTCTTTATTTTCATCATAAATTTCACCCCTTTCTTTTTGTTCTTGTGTTTTGCTGTGTTTCAGGGTTCTGTCCCTAAACTAGCACAATTTTGCTTCTGCGTCCCTTATCACATACATTGGGTGAGAAAGTTTTTTAAACTAATAAACAAGCTTATCTTATCTTCTTGGAAGCATGTTCTAGGAAGAATGGAAGAATGTAACTTGGGACAAGATATCTGATTTACTCAACTCGAAGCCAATCTTGACTCTCTTTATATTTGATACTTCACTTTTCTTATAAGGCTCCCTAATTTGGGACTCTTAATATGAATATGAAAAGATTGAAAAAGATTAAAGGTATTTATATGCTTGTAGTAAATCCAACCAAATAGCTTTGGTTTTTTTGTTTAACGGATTGCTTTAAATATTACATAAATCTCAACATGATATCAGAGCCTAAAAGCTAGCCATGAGTAAAAACATATGGGGGAAAAGAATGAAGGGGGCAAAAAACAGAAAACCAAAAATTGTATATATGCTTTTGAAGAAGAAAGAAAAGCTACTCGGATAGCTCCAAGTACAACTAAGGAGGATAGAAAATTAAAATCTTACTTACCAAATTTATATAACGTTAAGTGTATAAGCCTTCCCTTCTAATTTGCTTTAAAACCTTGCAAATTAAAAACATAAGAGTTATTCCCAGATACCAGCTAGCTGTATACCTGTATTTAAGGGGAAAAAGGGGGGAGAAAGAGAGAGGGAGAGAGTAATAGGATAATAGCGAGACGTTCAAAGGCTACAAGAATTGAGACTCACAAACCTAAAAGACAAGATCAAAATTTGTTTGATGAAAAAAGAATAGGACGATGGTGAGCTTAAACACTTTAATTTGAACAGGTAGAAAAGATATAGCTGATCAGTTTGCTGAGAGACTTGCGTACCTTTGAGTTCCCAACGCTTCCAATCACTTCGACCATATCTCCTTCTCATCGCGCTGTTATATATTAGATTATTCAGTACACATTAGTTCTTTTTTTTTTTTTTTCCAAAATTCAGTATATAGTTTTTTAAAAAATGCAAATGGAATAAAAATACTCCACCCCTTCTCCACGCAAAACAAGCCGAATAAACATAAAATATATCCTAGAGTCAAGTCAATAATCAATAATTGTTAATCAATTAAGTGATAACGCATAGTAATAATTTGATTCACAATTCCTTCCTTTTCTCCCCTTATTTTTTTAATTTTATTGTTGTTCTTATTTTCCCTTATTTTGTATTCATTTATTTTTTAAAAAATCTTTTGTTTATTTTCCTTTTCCCTTCCTCACAAATAATTGAACTTCTTTTCATTAATCTACATAGCTGCCAACTCAATATTTCATTATCTATGGCAGCATATTTCACAACATAATTTTTTGCATTCTTCCTCTCTCTTTTTTTTTTTGGTTTTATTTGTTTCTTGTGATTTTTTCTTACATATTAAAGTACTTTTTTAAAAAATATATAAGCTTATATTTTAATTTTTTTTACATTGTATTATTTATCTATATTTATTTTTAACATTTGATCTTTTAAATTTAATGTAAATACGTCTTAATGCTTTATCATTTTCTTGACATCTTTTTTAATTTTTAACTAAAGCCTCATTCATGAATAATATATCAATGATATATTCATCAACTATCAAGGTTATAAATTCATAGATACAAGAATTAAATACAAAAGGTAAAATGACAAAAATATTTTATAAATACTAGGTTATTTATATTTTGATTCAATATTAGTTGAAAGAAAATTGCCATATTTTGGACAGAAAGAGTATATGACTAACATATTATATTATATATATATATATATATATTTAATATCTTTTTTTTTTGGTTAAATCAAGACATGTAAATATTTTAAAATATATTATTAATAACTAACCTAGAAAAATAAGACTTGTCATGTTGTGGTGGTTGTGATTTTATATAATAGAAATATAAGGTTAAATGATAATTTAAATTCTAAATTATAAGCTAAAAGATAATTTAAACTTTAAAGTCGTGTTTGATATATTTTAAATTATGAACAATTAAACTTAGAGTGCTGGTAAAAAAAAAAAAAAAATCCTTCGAGCAAATTGGTCCTTAATTTCACGTAAACTCTGTTAATTTGCGAGCCCATAAATTTAATTCTCTCTCTCACCCTTTTCCGGCTCTCCTCTCACTCCATTTCTCTTTCCTCTCTTGCTCGACCCCACCGAAGAAGACGACCCTGGAGCAGCTCTCTCCTCACGTGCTTAACCTCTTGAAAGCTCCTCAAGAAGTTCGATTCCGTCGGGACGCCAACGTCTTCTACAGGTTCCAGATCCTGAAGCCGCCAGCGCCAGATGCAGGCCTTCCCCGAGCAGCAAAACCAGCTCCAGTCTCAGCTCGGCAGCGCAATTTCTTACTATCACCAACCTCCCACCACCTCTTCTTCTGATCCACAACATCTTCCTCCTGTCACTACCGTGTCTGTGCTTGAGCATGGGCAAGACGGTTCTGTATTCGGCTTCGTGGGACCGAACCACAAAGCTGTGGAGACTGTCCGATTCCATGTGCTTGGAATTGATCAACGCGCAAGACGGCGCGGTGAACTGGGCGGAGTGCTGGCTGGTCGGAATGGTGTTCTCGGGATCTAAGGACGGAACGGTGAAGCAAGCGGCGGCGTATAAGTTGTACATATTGAAGCAATAATTTTTATATGAAACTAACGGTATTAAATCAAATAAAATCTTGCTTAAAGTTAAAGAAATATAATTATATTTAGTTTAATTTTTATTAAATAAAGAAATGTATGAATTTAGGAGAGTGTAGAAGATGGATGAGTGGTCATTCTAAGAAGGCAATCAGAGCCGCTAATCTTTCAACTCATATCATTTTCTACCTTTCTCCGCCAATGTCCTTTCCGCCATTATTTCTCCAAGCACCAACACTTCATGTCATGTCACTATACCGCAGATCTGATCAGACCAGAAACTATGGAGATCGAGGTAAAATTCTGCGTTGTGCTTAATACTCTAATGTTCGACGACAAAGCTACAGTCGGTCTATCTCTCTCTCTATCTCTTTCTTCTTCTTCTTCTTCTTCTCCTCCTTCGTTTTCTTTCCCTTTCATTGTTTGTGATGGGCTCTACTTCTTGTTGTTTCTTATTCGTGTTTTCTCCTCCTTGGATCTGTGTCAGTATTTCCCTCACGAAAATAGAAGTCTGGAAATAGTATTTTTCCTGACCGGTAACTAGTAAACCTCAGGTTCTAACTAACTAGACCCTAGGTTGCCAAGGGCGTTTTCATCCAGTGGCACCAAAACATCTCTTTTAAAAAACATGTTAGGTTTTTCGAGCTTTAGAATGAACAGGTAATGAGTTTGCCTAGGCGGGGATGGATTTAGAAACAACTCTATGGGCCAAATGCAAATTTAATTTAATAGCGGGGCAAATAGAGTTTTATCATTTTTTTCCCCCCTCTAGCGCTGCGCCGCAGAACCAGGACATCGGATTAGGGGACCAATTTTTTCTTTTCTTAAAAGATTAATGATTTTAAAAATAGTTTAATAATTAAAAAATTATTTATGTACAATTATTACATTACTTTGAATTAAAAAAATTAAAATTTATGAATTTTACATGAAAATTATTTTAAAAAGGAGCAATATATAAACAGAAGGGAGTGCCAAATATAAGCAGTCAATAATATGAATATCAACAAAAAAAAAAAATATATATATATATATTACTTTTGATTTTAATTATCAATGATAAATGATAAGAACATCATAAATTTGTATAAAAAATCTAGGATAATAAATATAATAGATAAAATGAAAAATAAATCTACAACTATCGAATTGCTTAAATTTTAAATTAAGATTAGCGGAGAAAAAGGCTTATATTTTTTTATTGGAGAGAGTACGTGGTTCGGCCCAAAAAAAAAAAGATATTATTATTATTATTATTATTATTATTATTATTATGAAATGCCAATTAAACCCTAGGTTGACCGTTTTTTAATTAACCAATTTGCTTATGCACGGGCTTCGATACACGTCCAGACTGGACTATTGGCCACTTGCATGTTGAAGACTTGAATTGGTCAGTTTAATCCTGTTTAATTGATTAAAAGCATGGATTATACGGCAGAAAAGGTACTTTTATAATATATTGACAAGTACAATTATGATAACTTAAAGTAAAGTAACAGAATATTTACCGAATATTCTTAAAAATACTTATCCTCAGAAAAACAAAACTCGTATCTACATTGTAAGAAGACTTTTTTTTGGGGTAATATTACGAGACATTCTACAACAACTGTATCAATTTTATTTATATTATCCATTAACATATTTTATTTCTATACTTCTGTTTTTAAATATAGAAGAAAATGGCCTATTCATATCATTTGAGAAAATTGATTAAGTAAAATAATTATGGCTGAAATTAAAAAAAATTGGATTCAATTATCCCTGTAATTAATGAAATAAATTTGTCTATTGAAAATAAATATTGACTGTATGAGACAATTTAGGAAGTAATGTGACAAACGCTTCTAGAAATTTATAGTTTTGCTTACAAATAAAAACAAAGAAACATGTATTTAGATTCAGTGAGTAGCCTAAGTCTACTTACCAATTACAGCTACAAGATTTTATCAATACTTAAAATTTATCAAGATATATTCTCCAAAATATTTAGAATATTCCTCACAATCAAAAAACTCTTTACGTATGATGTCTCTTTCAAAAACTTAAGATTTGATATTTCTGAGTATTATATAACAAAATCTTTAACTGCTATTATTCAATAGAATCAAGCCATTATTATCGTGCCACATGAAATACTAGTTGAGTGGGTGTACTTTAGCCGGATCTAAATTCAAGGGATAAAGTTTTTGTTATATTTAAAAACTGAGGGAGTATTACATATCAATGCTTTCAAGGTTTGAATATATAGATATAGATTTGATTAAACAAAAACCGCCGGTCATTGATTTAAGTCATTTTTCGGTTTTCTTCACGCGTTTACGCGTAGTTTAGTCCAAGCCTCCAAGCTAAGGCAACGAACAAAATTTTAAGACGTCTATCATTTTTTCATGTTAACTTCTTATGGCTGGACTTGCGCTTATTCGTCGGCGATACTTGTATTTTAATCAATGGAACATTAGGGATAATTACCCTATTACATATTTAATTGAGAAAAATGACATAATTCAAAGTATACAATTGATCTTTCATATTCTGCAGGTTAGCTTCAATAATAAAATCATGCACATTTTCTTCTACTTTCTATAATCCAGATCCTTTATTCCCCAATTTCTCCTTTAATCAGTTACTTATATTCAGTTATTGACCATAAGAAATTAGTAAGAATCAAGAACAATTGCGTTCAATTATTTCATACGGCTCCAGCCCATGTGCAAGTATATGCCAGATTATTTTTTTTTTTTGTTTTTAGTGATAATTTGAAATGTTGGAGTAAAAAGAACAACTAAATCCATGAGATATCCTCTTTTTTCGTATATGGTTTTCAAATCCACTCATATTTCTAAAGTTCTCCTTCTCACTTTCATCAATAATGACTGTCCCAGAAGTCCAAAAATTAGCCAGAAGAAGTTTGTTCTACTGACTTCACATCCTCCTTCAGAA